ATGAGTTTGCATTGTGCATTTGTGATGGTTCATTGTGTAGTACGTGGATTGATGATGTTAGGGCTACACCCACATAGGGGTGGAGCCAGGATGTAATATAATGGCAGGAAGAAAGTGTGTCTTGCTTTTTGCTGGTTCCTTCTTGCTGTTTGCAGCTGCCACAAACTGCGGCCCAGCCATGCACACCTGCCTTGGAGCCAACTGAGTGTGGACTGAAACCTCCAAAAACCAAAGAAATAAACCTTTCCTTTCTCAACTTGGGCTTCAGGTATTTTGTCTCAGAAACAAGTAAAAAATAACTAAGACAGTAGTTAATGCAGGTCTCATGTTAGCTTGGCCTTGGATGTCCTTCAGAAAAGCCTGGCCTCTGAAGATATGGTGCAATGTAAAAACTTGGCTGTGCGGGAAGCTAGGATCACTAACAATTGCTGGCTATACTGGTAAATGACTACTGTTATTAACTGATGGACTATGATGAGTTTAAATTGAAGATCTCCTCAATGCTTCCCCAATTTAGCTGGCTACGCATCCTGGGAGTCATCAAAACACAAAAAAGAGAGAGATGTTGAAAAGGGTTGAAGATGAATACATGTGCAGGGCTGTGGTGTTGCCTGGGCATGATTGAATTGAGACTGAGGAGACACCGTAAGGAACAAGATAGGCTTCAGCTGAGGCCACCTGGAGACTTCCTGGATAGTTTTTCTTAATTAGAATCAACTGTTGCTCTGTGGGTTCCTTGAACCTCTCACAGGGGCCTGCTCAGGTTTTTACCATTATCCACTCACTTCCTTGCTTGTTCTAATTAAATATGGGCTGCCTAGTGACAGGTGGCTGGCTGGTTAGCAGAGTTATGAGTTCTAAAGAAGATTTCTCTCTTTCTGTTGCCCTCAAGACAATGCCACTTTTCTCCTTCTTTTGGTCCTTTGCTGTGCACTTTTTTGGGGGCTAGGTATTTAGGCATAGGCTCCAATAAAAACTTACCTTCCAGATAGGATAACTATAAGTTTCCTGAAAATTTTGTTGCATGTAAATTTTCTTTACCTGTAGATGGAAGTGTTATTATCAACAAATATATTGCTAACTTATCAACATATGCTACCTTTTTAACATATTGAGGGGTATTATAGTGATTTCTCAGAAGGCATGATTATACACCTCTTTATATCATTGTGAGTATTCTGCATAACTTTTCTAAGTCAGTACTTATAAGTGAAATTGAGATAATAAAGGAGGCATCCACCAACTTGCTAAGTACTATGTAACATGAGTCTTGGTGTTTCTAGCAGTTCATTTGTGTTAGCCATGAATTCCTCACCAGATGGCAGTTATGCCTGCTTGCCAGAGAATGGATTGTAAAGGAAATTATGTGGTTTTGATCTCCAAGGAATTGCTGGAGTCAAACTGAAACAGGTAAAAGCTAAAAAACTATTAGGGTTTTCATAGATTAAAAACATTTACATAATTAATTGATGAATGAGTTGATGCATTTGGAATATTATTCAGAACATACAGCTAGGTGAATTATATTAGATATTTATTTCTTTACTTTTATACAGGTACAAAATACCTGACTTACAGAATTTAATATAAATATATTCTTTATCTCGTTGTTTCCATGAGGGAAGTTTGGTTTTGACTGTTTCTAAAGCATAAATATCTTGCAAAAAAGTGAAAAGGAAAAGGTAGCTTTTTTATGAGGCCAAGGAGCCAGAGAACAGTTTCAGAAACTGAGAGGTAGGATCCAGGGACCAGATTTGGTTCATGGGTTCCAACACACATGGCTGCAGTATATACATATAGAAGCGATCATAGTAATATCCTACACATTTCTGAAGCCAAAAAGGTGTTAAAAATGGATCACCAGTCTTTAGGGAATATATGACTTCTAGGAATATTAAAATCCTGAAGAGCTGAGTGCCGATTAGTGACAAAGGAACTATACTGCAAGGGGAACTTAGAGTGTGAAGTCCTCGGGTACACCTGCATCCTCAGAAGGAAATGTTTAATTGAATTAGGAATTTGGTTCCATTTCAGCAATAATTGTCACCCCCATGCTGGGCAATATGATCACTTTCAGAATTCAGCATTTTTATGAGTCTGAATGAGTAGCAAGCTTGTCTTGGAGAATTGATGCTTGCTTTTATTTCATCATTACTCTGTTGCAGACCATTACTATCATCTAAATGTAATGTCTTCACTTTACACAGTAACTGTACTAATTTTGTGTTCCTGTACTGGGTTTCTAGGTGGAAAATTAATAGAAATGAGTGAAAATCATGAAAATGAAGTCTGCTGCCTCTAACACAGACTTCTGACTCTGTTCTGTTGTGTCCCACCCTGGCCTGTTCTCAGAATATTTTCTGACATCAGTGGATTTTTTATTCCTGGAGGATTGAACCTGAATCCTGAAAACATTTGCAGCCCATTATGGAAAGAGTCCACTGATCCTTGAAATAAAGCAGGGGTAGCCATGAAATGGCAGGCATAAATAAGAAATTTAGAGAAGAGCTAACATCACCACTTCTCAAAATTTAATGAAATCGAATGGGAAATGGTACCTTTCAATTCATTCCTGGAAGCAAACATTACCCTGATACTAAAACCAGAGAACAATCCAAATAAGATAGAGAATTACAGACAATTCTGCCTAGTGAACATTGAAGCAAAAATACTCAATAAGATACTGGCAAACAGACTTCAGAATATCATCAAGAAGATTTTACACCATGATTAAGTGGAATTATTCCCTGGGATGCAGGGGTGGTTCGACATACATAAATCCATACATATAAATACACTGTATTGACAAATCCCAAAGCAAAAATCATTTGATCATTTCAATAGATGCAGAAAAAGATTTTGCCAAAGTCCATCACCTATTCATAATGAAAAATCTACAAAAATTGGGAGAGATGATCTTTATCTCAATCTGATAAAAGTCCTTTATTACAAACCAAAAGTCAACCCCATACAAAGTGGACAAAAACTGAAAGCTTTCACTCTAAAATCAGGAACAAAAGAAGGATGTCTACTGTCTCCACTCTTATTCAATATAGTCCTGGAAACTAGCTGGAGCAATTAGACAAGAGAAAGAAATAAAAGGAATAAAGATAGGAAAGGAAAATGTTAAACTATCATTATTTGCAGAAGAAATGATACTCTACTTAGAAGAACATAAAAATTCCACCAAAAGAATTCTAGTTTAAGAAGAAAATTCAGTAATATAGCTGGTTACAAAGACAATACTCAACAATCACTAGATTTCATAAACAAGAATAAAAAACTCATGGAAAGAGAAATCAAGCAAACAATAACTTTTACAATAGCATCCAACCAAATGAACTACTTAGGAATCAATCTAACAAAGGATGTAAAGGATCTCTATACTGTAAACCACAGTACTCTCAAAAAGGAGATTGAAGACGATATTCTAAAATGAAGAGCTATCCCATAGTCTTGGGTAGGGAAATTCAATATAGTGAAAATACCATACTTCCAAAGCTATTGTACAGATTTAGTGCAACCCCAATCAAAACCCCATAGCATATCTCAAAGAATTACACAAAATAAATCCTAAAATTCATCTGGAACCAGAAGAGACCTAGGGTAGCAAAGATGATCCTGGGCAAAAAAGAAAAGATAGGGTTCATCAAAATCCCTGACTTGAAATTATACTATAAAGGTATTGTGATTTTAAAAAAGGGTGGTACTGATAAAAAACAAAACAAGAAAACCAGACCCAAAGGTCAAAGGAACAAATTAGAAGATGGAGAAACAACCCCAGATCACTAAACCATCTTATCTTTGACAAAGGTGCCAAACAGAGCCATTGGAAGAAAAGCAGTCTCTTTAATAAATGGTGCTGGAAAAACTGGCTCTATACGTTCTGAATATTATCTTTCAATGTGTATTAAGCTAAGATCAGAATAGATCAAAGATCTTATATTAAAACACGAACATTAAATCTTCTGCAAGATGAAGTAAGTAAAACTCTTGAAGACACTGATGTAAGCAAAGACTTTATGAGGAAAACATGGATTGAACAGCAAAAATCAAAGAGAATTAAGTGAGAATCTCACCCTACTGAAAAACATTTTAACAGCAAGTGAAATCACTAACAGAGTGAAGAGACAACCCACAATGTGGGAGAAAATGTTTGCCTGCTGTTCCTCAGACAAAGTATTACTATTCAGAGCACGGAAAACTAAAAAATTTCAGTCTTCCCAGATTTAAAGACCCAATCCAGAAATGTGCATCTGAGGTGAAATACACAATACTAAGATGAAGAAATACAAACAGCAAATAAATATGTGACAAAATGTTCTGCATCATTCTTCATTTTACAATTGCAAATTAAATAACACTGATATGTCACCTTGCCCCAGAAAAACGCCTACTGTCAAGAAATCAAGCAATAACGAATGCTGAAAGGGTTATGGGGGAAAAAGGAACCCTTCTCCATTGTTGGTGGTAAAGCAACCACTAGGGAAATCAGTGTGGAGATTCCACACAAACGAGGTCTACAGGTCCCACTCAACTCAGCTATTCTCCTTCTGCGTATCTACCCAAAAGAATAAAAATCATCATACCACAGTGATATATGTGCACCCACGTTTATAGCAGCACAGTTTGTGGTAGCCAGATCTTGGATGGAATGTATGACCTCTAGCTTGCCAGGCAGGCGCTTAAGCTAAATCCCTGGACCATTTTTTATTTTTTAACTTTCAAATAAAATGGGTTTGGGAGAAAAAACAAGGACTGAGATAAAGACTTTCAGTGCAAATACACATCAGACGAGCTGAGGTCAACATTCCAGAAGACAGTCAGCTCCAGAAGCTTCCACCATCTTTCATTGGGGATCCACAGTTACAGGGTGGGTTTTTTTTATGTAATTATTCTTGGTGGGGAAGGCAGGCAGGAGAGCAGGAGCCAATCAGTGATGAAGAGGCTGGCTGTAAGAACTGTCCAATCAGGCGGGCCAAGGTAGGCGGTGTCTTCCGGTGTCATGGCGTCAATTGCAAGGCCAGGGCAAAGAAGGGAGCACTAGATGTTTCCTAGACCACTATTTTTTGCTTCTATTCGCTGTGAACTGCTTAGAAAGAACCTGGGAGACCTCCAAACTACGCAATGGTGATGTTATGGGAAGGGAGCAGTGAAATGCGGTGGAATCTGGTTGAGACCAGTTAGAAGTGATGAGAAGGGGCTCAGGGATTAGCTCGGCAGCATAAGCGCCTGTCTTGAAAGCAGGCAGTCATGAGTTCGATCCCCAGTACCGATAAAAAGGAAAAAGACCAAAAATAAAATTAAAATTAAAAAAAAAAAAAAAAAAAAACAAGTGGTGAGAATCAGCTGTGCTGTCTAGAGCCTGTGTGCTTAGCATCTGACCCTGAGATCCTCTAGTGCTAGCAGTGAGTCATCCTCTGCCCCTTTTACCTCTCGCTGGGGCCAGGACAGTTCTGGGTCCCTAGAATGCTATTGCTACTGTGATACCACCAGGCCACAATGCCATTTTTGAAATTGCCTGCTGCCCTTTCTCCTCCAACAGTCTGGGTCCAAGAAGGGGCATGAGGAGACCCTGAGTCCGATGTGGTTTCAAGCTGGGTGCAGCTGTAATAAGCTAGGTCTCTGATCTCATTCCTGTCAGTAACACATCTGAAAGCCAGAAGTTTATGTGTCTGTGATGCAGGACCTCATAGCCACAACGGCTCTCCTTAAACTTATGCATTTATGTATTTTGTGATCGCCTAAATTTATACTATGTTTTCATATTTCCATGCTCATGAAATGAGGAGGCAAAGGTTCTGAGAGTTCAAAGATGTGTAGTGATGTGCCTCAGTGGAGGAAGGCTTCCCAAACACCGGATGAACTGTTGTGTATTACAAAGAGCAATGCAAAGAATTTCTGAACATACTTCATGTGACACATGTGCTCATAGACGATGTTTGGGAGAACAGCCATAGAAGTTTGAATTTTGAGAAAAATGAAGCAGATATAAATGTGTCATCAAGGGCAGGGAAAAGTGTGTTTGCTAAGGACAAATTCCAGAAAGGGCTGCCTGTTAAATTCTCATTGAAAAATGCCTAAATGTAGTCATTTGCATGAACATATACACGTGATATCCTTCTGAATGGAAAGGAATATGGGTGTCATCTCTGAATTAAGAGGTGATTTAATAGCTTGGTTGATCATATACATTGTTGAAATATGGAAAGGCTCTGCAATGGACTTTACTAAGTGGTTAAACGAGATGCCATAAATTAAAATTGTGCAGGGATATCAATAGTTTAGTCATGAAGGGTTTTCTGCTTAGCGTGGATCAGACGAGCATGGAAAGCATGTGGAAGTGACTGGCAGGACGCATTGTGCCAATAGCAGGACATAAAGCAGAGAGTATTGAAAGTCAGGTAGTTCTTACGGTAAGCATGAAGAAAAAGTTGGCTTATGGTTTCTTCCTTGAGGTGAAAAACATCCACTCTGGTAAGAATCAGTATTCCACATCCTTGTCAACCCATGAATTCTGTGTTCTTCACTTGAGATCTAATTTTGATTATCTCTAATTATGACCCAGTGTCATGAAGGTGAAATTTGAAATTTTTTTTGTAACAGCGATCGAACTCATGATCTCAAGCTTGATAGGTAGATGTGCATGCTGCTGAGCTAAATACCCAGCTCTGAAAGTGTTTTCTATATACTATGTATGATATCAATATTGTTCCTCAGAAAATGTTGAATATTGTGGAATTTTTCTATATTGTATGGATATAGTTTTTAAAGCAAACCAAAGGTGTTGTGTGCAGTCACTTTTCAAGTTTCACATTGTCTGTGGGGTGTCTCAGTCAGGGTTTCTATAGTTGAGACAGCTCTGTAACTTAGGCTAGCCCCAAACTCAAGGAAGTTCTCCTGCATCAGCCACCCAAGACATATTTCTTATATCTGAATGGAGAGTGATCACTTGGTGACACTGAACTATAATTTGAAACTTATACCTGGTTTCATTTTTTATACATTTTTTACATACAGCAGTTTTCCATGAACATTTGAGTTATTATTTATGTATCATATTTGATGTTATTTATGTTTTGTTCTATGAAGCCAACTTAAAATATCAAAATGCTACTTAAGTGTATTAAGAACAAAGGACTCAGTGGCCTAAATGAGATTTGAAGAGATATCATTGTTAGTACATCAAAGTGATTCATGAGATATTTGTCCGCCTCTGTGCTTTATGGATGCTGGTCCTGCAGGCTCTCACTATGAGCTCTGCTGTAGAGACAGTGCACAGTGACTCTTGCAGTGACTCAGCATAAGAATCAGTGCTCCTATTTAGCTGTTACATTAGCTGTGAGTTGCAATAGAGCATTAAATTTGCTGTCTCAAAAAATGTGTATATACCAAAAATTAATCCCCAAGATATGGAATTAAGATTTGAAGAAATCAGTCTCTATTCAGCTGTTTTGTTTGGTTTTATTTGTTTAGTTTAGTTTTGTTTTATTGAGACAAGTTTTCTCTATGTATATCAGCTAGTTTGAACCCTTTATGGAGAGCAGAATTGCCCTAACCTCAAAGCAACACTCCTGTCTCAGCGTCTTAAGTGTGAGATTATAGATATGTGTCTATTTACCCTAGAAAATATTGAGGCTTGTAACTTAGCTGTATTGTAGCTTGCCATAATAGATGCCATCTTGAGCTTTACATTTAACTAGTGCCCTATATTTCACTCAGAAAAATGGAAAATCACACAGGGTATAATCCCAGGAGAAAAGCAAAATGAGCTGTGCCCAAAGAAAAAAATAAACCTCTCAACAAAAGAAGCAGAATACAGTTGTCATCCAAAAATTATTATAAGATTCTAGCTAAGTGATTTCCAACAGGATCTTTTTGTGATTTTATCTTTTAAAACATCTCTAACTTTCCAGTTCAGAGCCTCTTGTTTAGATCCTGAAATGGGGGTAGGGGTTCTGTATACAAGTGTTCCTGAGACCTGCTAATGAAATTCCACATTTCTCAATTGGGTTGCTTGGTTTCCTATGTTATTGTTCACAAACTCAACTCAAGCTACAGAAACCTTACTAACACAAGCAAACACCAGAATTAAATGACAGTGGCACTGAAATGAAAGAATAATTGTGAAAAGGAGAAGAGAAAAAAGACAAATGCCATGTGCTGTAATGGCCACCTCTTTTCCCCAGCAATGAAGAAGCTCAAACAGGAGAATGGCCATCTATTCAAAGATGCCTAACCTACATAGTGAGTGCCAGGCTGGCCAGAACTCCAAAGAGAGACTATGTCTTTAAATGAAAAATTAAATGAAAAAATTAAACAACCAAGGAGACAGAAAAAGTATTTAAAAAAAACAATAATAGAGCTGAGTGAAAGTTGACTTATATAAAATGAGAATTATTGAATGATGCTGCAGAGTAAAGAAGGCCATGTACAGGTATCCAGGAGACAGTGACAAACACAGACTTAGGAATGGCACCTATTGTGCTACAGGACAGCAGTGACCTCCTTCCTCCAATATATTTTCAGTTCACTAGACTGAGGACTTCTAAAAGCTCATGGAAATGTGAAACTCATGGCAAACAAGCAGCTTGAAATTCAGGCTTTGGAACATGGCCTTTAGCAGACATTTCATATTTAAATTGAAATAAGAGAAATATAACCCTGCCCTGTTTGCTGTCAAATGCGCAAGATTGAGAAATGAAGTCACAAAATGAAGTTAAAAATTTTTCTTAGAAAAAAAGAGAGAAGAATAGCACTGAATTTTCATGAGTGGTCTTCGGTGATTTGGACAAAGACCTATTGTCAGGGGTCATTTATACAGGAAAGTCACAATGTGAGTACAGTGAGGGTCTCAAACTACAATCAACCTATAAGCTTATAGCTGCTTAACTAATATTATTAATCAGGGGAACAAGTCAGCAAGAAAAGGTATGTGGAAAGAGGCAAGGCATTTTGTGGGAAAAATAGGCCAGTTGTTCTGGTCATTGAGTATGGTAATTGATGCATATCTGGACTTCCTGGAGGAGGTGGTGGTAACTGTAGTACATTTCAAGCTGTTGTTTTTCTGTTCAGGAGCATGTAGACATGGTCACTGCATCTTCACCTTCAGGTCTGCCTTTCTAAACCTGTGCCTGTAGCAGTGATTGTTGTGTTTAGTTTTTTGCATTGACTCTTTGAGGTTCCATTTCCTCTCTGATTGTATATCAATTTCTGTCTATATTGACATCCTTTGCTAAAATCACAATACTATTTGAATGGATAAGGTGATGTTTATACATTTAAAAATATTCATTAATACAGGCCAGGGCTTTAGCTCAGCAGGCAGAAAGGCCTTCCTGGGAAGTGCTAGGTTGTAACTTTGATACGTTGTACCTAAAGAAAATGTAATATAAATTGCAAAGAAAGAAAATAATTTCATTCGTGAAAATGTAGGTTTACAAAGTCTATAACTAAATAGGTCAATGGCAAATTAAACCTTGTTAATAGTTATATTTAGTATCTAAAGTTGTTGGGGCTGGGGATTGAGCTCAGTGACACAAGCAGCTGCCTGGAGAGCCAAAAGTTATGAGTGCAAACCCTCATACAAAAAAAATTCACAGTTTTCAAGATGCAGGGCTATGAGCACATTTATTGAAACTGATACGTGTTAATTAATAGGCTCAATGTTTCTTTTGTGGTCTAAGAAATACCTGAAGATAACAAGGCAATTACAGTGAATGATGTAATGTCCCCTATAAGATTGCTATTTTCGGAGTTGTTTTTATTTTTTGTTTTCCCACATACTTGAAAGTTAAAAATGTTGGCTGATGCTGGGTCAAAAAACTGTGATAATCATTTTTTCAATTTAATGGTATACTTCCCTATATCCATTAAGAACATTTTATTTGCTACAATTACTCCAAGTCAAATTGGTAAACAATTCTTAAAGTTACGGGCAGCTGAGTTAGTTAGAAATACAGGCAGCCACACCATGATATAGTGGAATGAAACTCCTGACCTTATATGTCTGGTATGAGTTTGTGTTCTCTAAAATGCAAGAATGAATTTTAGGAACAACAGAGTTGAAGAGCAGAATATATTTATTGAGAGAAAGAAAGTGAAAGTATTTTTCTCTAAATAGGATATTT